TGACCAGTGGGTAGGCCAAAATGTTTGTCGAATCAGCCCTAGCTTCCACTTCTCTACCTGAGCTCACACTATTCCTTCCAACCATTCATATGTGACCAAACTTCAATGTCTCCTCCCTCTGAAATTCTCCCCTGCTCCTCTAAACCTAGGTCAGCAGAACTTCACCTGCATCTACCAGTCTTGTGGAATCATTGCTGTGTGTGTATTTACTTACTTGCATAATAATCAGCATGTCTCCTATGTGCCAGACACCGCCTATGCCCTGACCACATTTTCTCATGTAATCTCACACTGATCCTGCAGGTGGGCCTGATAAACCTTCTTTTATAAATGAGGAAGTCAGGGATCAGATGAGGTAAGTGACTTAGCCCAAATCACAGCACCAAGAAGCACAGAGTGTGGATGGGAACCCATCTCTGCTCATGAAGCCCATTGGCCTTACTTGCTAATGGTCAGTAAGCAGGTGTGACCCAGCCTGTGCTCTCAGTGCCTGCCTCTAGTGCTTGAAAGACGCTAAATTGGGAAGGACACAGGCTTTCCAGCAGGTCCTTCCAGGGTAGAAGTCCTAGGGGGATGTTTCCTGAGTGCCAGCCATTCATCAGTCAAGGAGCTGGGTAACTAACATAATCAAAATCATTTAATTCTCAAAGCAATCCTATTGGGTAGATATAATTACTAATTTCTTCTTGTTAACACAAAAGGATTCTGAATATTCGGTCTGTTTAAAAGAGTTGCTTAGGATCCCAGATGGGGTACCTGGTTAGAGCCAGGGTTTGAACCTGTGAGATTCCCTTAAGATTATTTTTCTCTATTATAAGGAAGCAGCTTTTGACTGAGTTAAGGGGAAAAAAATTTCTAGCCATTAGAGCTGTCCAAGAGTGAAAAAGATTCTTTCTGGCAGTACGGCGCCCCCTGGATCCTGAGGATAATCAATGAACAGATGGGTGCTCACCTGTCGGAGAGACTTTGAGGTTTGTTGGGACAATGGCTGGCTAAAGATCTGTCCATCTCTTCTCTGTGGATATGGTCAGGGGAAGGGAGATCTCCTCATATCTCTTTCCATAGTGTTCTCTGGAGAGGCAGTAGTCAGAATGCCAGGGTGACTAGGGCACCAAAAGGAATTCTGACGAGTGGCACCTACTTGGGCCTTTTTCTTTCACTCAGCAGGCCTGCCAGGGTAAGAGCTAAGATTCTAGTTTGGCTCAGAGAGAAGTTGGATCCTACTTATGTCTCCTGTCCAGCCTACAAGCTCCAACCAAAAGCACAGGGTTCTCTGCATCAGTGATTCCCAGCGTTTTTGGCACCAGGGACTGGTTTTGTGTAAGACAGTTTTTCCACGGACTAGGGTTGGGGGGATGGTTTCAGGATGATCCAAGTGCATAACATTTATTGTATGCTTTATTTCTATTATTATTATATTGTAATATATAATGAAATAATGATACAACTCACCATAATGTAGAATCAGTGGGAGCCCTGAGCTTGTTTTCCTACAACTAGGCAGTCGCATCTGGGGGTGATGGGAGACAGTGACAGATCATCAGGCATTAGATTCTCATAAGGAGCACACACCCTAGATCTCTCGCATGTGCAGTCCACAAGAGAGTTTGTGCTCCTATGAGAGTCTAATGCCACCGCTGACCGGACAGGAGGTGGAGCTCAGGTGGTGATGTGAGTGATGGGGAGTGGCTCTAAATACAGATGAAGCTTCCCTGGCTCACCTGCTATTCACCTTCACTCCCTGCTTTGCTGTGCGGCCAGTTCCTAATAGGTCACAGACCAGTATCCAGCCCCCGGGGTTGGAGAACCCTGCTCTGCACTGTGGTCTCAAACCTGCCAATGGGACTTGGCCCCTCTGCTGTCCATAAAGAGTGCTTGGCTCCTTGTGAGGAGAAACAGCTGTTTTCCTGGATCCCTGGCCAACAAGCCATAGTACCAGTTTTCCACCCATTATTTTCAAAGCGTTCCAACTTTAAGATCCTAGAACAATATTGGGAATTCCCACTATGACCTTTCTATTTGAGACAGAGTCTTGCTCTGTCACACCCAGGCTGGAGTACAGTGGCGCGATCTTGGCTCACTGCAACCTCCACCTCCCAGGTTCAAGCGATTCTCCTGCCTCAGCCTCCCAAGTAGCTGCGATTACAGGCACTCACCACCATGCCAGGCTAATTTTTTTTTTGTATTTTTAGTAGAGGCGGGGTTTCACCATCTTGACAAGACTAGTCTCGAGCTCTGACCTCAGGTGATTGCCCTCCTCGGCCTCCCAAAGTGCTGGGATTACAGATGTGAGCCACCGCGCCCGGCCTCCACTGTGACTTTCTTTCCTCTTTTGGACGTAAGGAGCTTCCTGGATCCTACCCAAGGATATTGTCACTGACATGACTGAGGAATTGCAAGAGTTGGGGGTAACTCCTAAATTTACATCGTCCATGGATAAATACGAGTGTTTTTCAGCACAGCTTTTTGACTAAATCAACTGTTTCCAGTATGAAAAACAGAGAATAAATTATTTGCATAAACTTGTTGTCTTTTGGGTCAAAGAAGAAGCCCGTCAGGAATATCTGGGAGAAAGATTTACAGTAGTACATAACAGGTGGTGTTCTTTCATTCCATTACTTTGTTGCCATGTCAAAGGCCTGGATGCCCCATCATTTGCTGCTTCCTCTTCCAAGAAGCATCGTCCTTAAAAAGAGCATCTGGATCTTTAAGCAGAAAACTCAGAAGAATTAAAAAATAAAATAGTTTATTTGTGAATCAGCAGGGACCACTCCATCCTTGGGGCTTTTTGCCAAGCTATCATCTTTGATTGCACAGACCCATGAGGAATGACTGCGAATATCCTTTCTGTTGGCAGGAGGCCAGTCACGTTTAGGGCAACTGCTCGCCAAGGTCATTGCTGTGATTGATTACATGAGATTAACAGCCTCTGGCGGATGCCTGTGTGCTCTGGTTCCACCCTCATATTCCTCCTCTGAGCATATATATCAAAGTAAACAGCTGACAAGAAATGAACCAAGCAGGAACACCACACAGGCACCCGTCTTACACAGCCCCGCAGCAGCTCACAGTAAACCTGTGGGACATTAATTCTTTTCATTCAGTGAACAAGCTCATATTTTCTTTGCATTCTAAGAATGCAATGTATAGTAATTATGTTTTTGAGGAATTTAGGGGAAATAATTGAGATCAAGAGCAGAAAATTGTTGCTGGACTACGGGGTGATAAGTAATACTTACTTGCGCTCACAGTGTTCATGGTATACAAACTGCTCTCATCACTCATTCATTCATTCATTCAACAAACATTCATTCAACATCCATTATAACCATGCAATGGGATATCCACAATGAATAAGACACCACCATGCCCTCAAGGAAGGAACCTTCTATATGCATGAATATGCATGTATGCAAATGACTGAAACAACATTAAAATTGTAGTTGGTGGGAGAATCTCGCTCTTTGCCTCTGTCAGCTCTGTGCTGGGCACTGGTGCTGTGGAGACGAGTCTCAGGCAAACCATGTCTCCCACAGTCCAGGAACCCAAGAATCCTAAAACTCCAGCTCCGCTAAATAGACAGAAAGGATATTATGATTCCCATTGTACCAATGAGGAAACCATGGTCCTGAGACATGGTGAAGTGACATCCTTTTCAAATGATACTTGTGCAAACAAATAACACCTCAAAATTAATTTTAGTCAAAATACTTTCTTTTTTTGAGACAGGGCCTCATTCTGTCACCAAGGCTAGAGTGCAGTGGTGCCATCATGGCTCACTGCAGCCTTGACCTCCCAGGCTCAGGTGATCCTCCTGCCTCAGCCTCCCAAGTAGCTGAGACTACAGGTGAGTGCCACCATGCTCGGTTATTTTTTTTTTAATTATTATTATTTGTAGAGATGGAATCTCCCTATGTTTGCCGGGCTGGTCTCAAATTCCTGGGCTCAAGCAATCCTCCCACCTCAGCCTCCCAAAGTGCTGGGATTACAGTGCTGAGCCACTGCGTCCAGCCAAGACATAATACTTTCTGCTCAAATAAAAGTATGTGTTATTACCGCCGCCAAATAGTCCCATTAATCATCTTCAGCTAGTAAATGTAAATGTAATAAAATACAAATACATACTGAATGTCTCATTTTTATAGGACACTGAGTTACATATTCAGGGAAGATGTAAAACAAACAAAGAGAAAAAAGAAGCATAGTCTTCACCCTTCAAGATTTTCCAATCAGCTAGAAAATCAGACATGAAGACCTTGTGTTGTGGGTTCAAAGGGGACAGTGTTTGAAACATCGAGGCCAAGGCGCTTTGATGTTTGCCCTGTCACTGATCCGCTGTGGGCCTTTGTGTAAGACCCTCCCCCTCTGGATGCCTCTTTCCCATCTGTACAATGAGGGGGTTGGACCAGAAGCTCAGGGTGTTCATAGGCGGCACACAGGCATCAGGACTGAAACCTGGGGGGCAGTGACTCTTCCACCAGTTCTCCTTCCTGCACCGCGTGCCCTGTCAACTCCACCTGCCCAGGAACAACTTGAGCCCCCACTGCATAGCCCCTGGTGTGCACCACGCAGGCGCCTATCTTACCCAGCCCCGCAGCAGCTCATAGGCTGTGACGCCCAGGGACCACCAGTCGACAGGGTACGAGTATCCGGGGCCTCCGTCCATGTACACCTGGAATACTTCTGGGGCTGTCAACGAGAGGACAAACAGAACATCATTGTGTATCCCAGTTTATGGCCACCACCCCTTAGAGAGGGGACAAAGAGAGAAATCGAGCTTCTTTTTTTTTTTTTTGGAAACAGTTTTACTCTGCCGCCCAGGCTGGAATGCAGTGGCGCGATCTCAGCTCATTGCAACCTCTACCTCCCGAGTTCAAGTGATTCTCCTTCCTCAGCCTCCCGAGTAGCTGAGATTACGGGCACCTGCCACCACGCCTGGCTAATTTTGAGATTTTTAGTAGGGATGAGGTTTCACCACGTTGGCCAGGCTGGTCTCGAACTCTTGACCTCAGGTGATCCGCCCACCTTAGCCTCCCAAAGTGCTGGGATTACAGGCGTGAGTCACCACATCCGGCCAGAAATCTAGCTTTTTTGGACAGTAAAACCTGTACTTTTTTCACTATGCCACATGGTTTACACCCTCAGTAAGCCATGAACTGCCTGAGAACAAGTTACAGGCATCACCGGAGGCTCTGGAGTGACACTGCCGGGTGGAATGCAGATGGGACGCCCTGAGGGGGCACGGAAGGGCTTGGTGAAAGACATGTCCCTGGAGGGGGTGGACTGGTGGAGCATGTTCACTGGGAGAACTGGTGGGGTAAACCCAGAGTGAAGAAGAGGAACAGAGCCCCCAAGGGGCTGAGAACCTTGATAAATGAACACTTAGAGCTCTCTGTGCCTGGGGCCTATCAGGGACAACTCTGTTTTAGCATAGGTGGCATCTAACATGAAATACCCACAATGGGTAAATCCGCAAGACAGAAAGCGGACTGGAGGTTGCTAAGGGCTGTGGGTGGTGAGGGGAAGGTGGAAGCACCTGTTTCATGGGTACTGCTTTTCCTTTGGGGGTGAAAACAAATGGGTTGGAACAAGAAAGAGGTGGTGGTCATATAACACTGTGAATGTACTAAATGCTACTGAGTTTTTCACTTTAAAATAGCTAATTTTATCTTATGTGAATTTCACCTCAATAGAAAAAGTACAGTGAAGGTGATGGAGGCCCAAGAGTGGTGGACCCTTCTTCTTCAGGGTACTGCATTTGTCCTGGGGTCTTTGTCCCTGATCACTCTCCAAGGGGCTGAGTGGTGGGTTGATCTCAGTGCCTCACCCCCACCTCACTAGGCCAGGAGTGCATTGTAGGGTCTAATTGTCCATGTGGGCTTCCAGGAACATTTTGTAAACTGTTGATTATTTCTAGTAAATTAATTTGCAGGCATAATTCCATTTTACAGTTGTCAGAGCAGCCGAAATCTGCCCTGGGGAGTCACAACCTGTTGTGATTAAAACTGTCTCAACTCAGTTTCTAGATGGGCATTCACTCGGCATGGAAAGAAGATCCAGGATGAGTTGACCTGGGGGCGCTGGCTGGGCAGCTTCACACTTGAATCTGACCAGCAGCCACTTTCTAGCTGCCCCCTGGTGATATTCTCCATTTGGTTCACATTTTCTAAGTGCACTTTTACCCATGGGCTCTCCTTTTCTCTTCACAACAGCCTCTGGGGACATGTTTTAAGGGAAGGTTCAGAGAGGGCCAGCAGTATGAAGAGGTCACACAGTCAGGAAATGCAAAGCTGAGATGCACACGTTACAGGTCTGCTGAATTCCTGTTTGAAGTAAGACTTGTCTCAACATTTCGTTCGGTACAAACTACATACTTAGTGCCACATGGTAGAATGGTGCAACTGGGAATTCGAGAACATGCCCCTTAGATTTGGCCCTTAAAAAGGAACTGACATCGTACCCTGGGAAACAGGAAGACTGCCGGTGCTGCTGGAGTTGCTCGTTAGTAATAAGCTACGTACCTTCTCTTTGCCTCAGTTGCGTAGAATGTAGATAATAATAATGGTTTATTCATTGGGCTGTTGTGAGGATTAAGTAGATTAAATAAGATAATCTATACCAAGAGTTTAGCAGGATGCCTGGCCCGTAGTGAGTGCTCCATGAACATCAGGCATTACTAACAGTCGAATCATCACTCCAACCTCTGCTTCCTCTGCCATGCCTCCCCATCGTCCATAGTTACCCAAAGCAGAAATCTGGGAACCCTCCTAAATGCCATCCTCCTTAGCCTCATGAATGATCAGTCTCCAAATTCTGTGTGTTTTGTATCTTCAGCATCTTTTTGTCTGCCTCTTCCTATCAATGATAGATCATCCTGTCTCCAAAGTCAGTGATCACACTTGTTCATTAAGCATTGGATGAGTGAATATTGAATGCTTTCCTAGTACATGCTGGGCATTGTGCTGTGTTATTCTGAATCCCACCTGGATCCTACCACTGAGCCCGAAGCTGAGCTTGAGCCTACAGGGACTTCCTTCCCTGCACCGTTGTGTGTGCCTGTTCCTGTTCTCAATCCTGAGGGCTCAAGAGAGAAGGAGTCCCGTCATGCTTGTCTGTGTGTTCCCAGGGCCTTGACAGCTGCTGGCCCAGCCCACAAGCTCCAGTAGCGCAGGGTGCACCCAGCAGTGCAGAATGGCTGTGTGTGCTGAGATGTTCCCCATCAATCCTTGTCACACCTGGCAGCCCCAAGTCCGTTTAGAACTCAGGATAGAAGCAGCAGCAGAGTGATCCTGTCCTGGCTGTCATGCCCAGTCAAGCGACAGATGTCTGCAGTCCTAGAGAGGGTAACATTCCCTCCCCCTGCCCCACATACACACTTGGAGCTGATGATAGAACACAACAATACTGATGTCATAATCCCTGTGCCACCAGAATGATGTCACTGGCTGCTCAGAATCCCAGCACTTAGACGCGAGAGAACTATACAGGTTTAGAGCTAGAAGGACAGGTGTGAGCCACATATCTGAACAACAGCAACCATGATTTACCAGCTGCCATGTTAAGGATTACATGTGTATTACCTCTTTAGTTCTCCCCCAGCCACCCAACAGGATAAACGCTACGATGATCTTCATTTTTCTGATGAGGAGGCAGAGGCATTTGGAGGTGTAGTGGGCCAAATCATTGCCCGCTAAAAGCTATGTTCAAGTCCTAACTCCTGGGACCCGTGAATAGGGCCATATTTGAAAATAAGGTCTTTGTAAATGTAATCAAGTATCTCAAGATAAAATCATCCTGGATTTAGATTGGGCCTTAACTCCAACGACTGATGTCTTTATAAGAGAAAAGAAAGACCTGAGACACAGAGAAGATGGCCATGTGAAGACAAAGGCAGATAGGAGCCATGCGGCCACAAGCCCAGGAAGGCCTGGAGCTCCTGGAAGCTGAAAGAGGCAGAAGAATCCTCCTGTGGGGTCTTCCGAGGGGCACATGGTCCTGCTGGCCCCTTGATATTGGACTTTCAGCCTCCACAACTGTGGGAAAATGAATTTCCATTGTTTCAGGCCACTCGGTAGTAATTTGTTTTGCAGCCACAAGAAATGAATACAAGGGGTAAGGAACTTGCCAAGGTCACCCAGCTAGCATAGCAGAGCTGGGATTAGCACCTCTTGGTTTTCTGACTTCAGGGACCTTTCCCCTGTTCTGGGTAACTGACAGAAGTAATTGAGTTACCCGGGGATTGGTGCCCTGGTACACCCTTCCACCCTCCTTCCTTCCCTCCCAGGGCCTGGTGCTTAGCCCAGTATACAGAAGGCACTTAATAAATGTGTGGACTGGCTCTTTCACCCTGATGCCATAGGGCTTGTCTGGCTCACTGATGTCTGCATCAGAGGTGGAAACAGCTCACAGCATCTCGAGATGTCAGCATCGCAGGGCCGAAGGGTCCTGTGAAACTCATCGTGTTCACACATGTCCTTGTTAGAACCGGACACTGGACCCGAGGAGGAAGAGGGGCTTGCCTCAACCACCCAGTAGTGCCTCTGAAGTCAAGTCTAGAATTCTTGGTCCTGACTCCGAGGTTCAGGGAATTCCCATGACTGTCACAGTGATACTCAGCTGCCAAGTCTGCATGATTCTACCTCCTAATCACGTGTGTGCCCTCCCTTCCTCGCCAAGTCTGCATGATTCTACCTCCTAATCGCGTGTGTGCCCTCCCTTCCTCGCCAAGTCTGCATGACTCTACCTCCTAATCGCGTGTGTACCCTCCCTTCCTCGCCACGTCTGTATGGTTCTACCTCCTAATCGCGTGTGTACCCTCCCTTCCTCGCCACGTGTGCATGACTCTACCTCCTAATCGCGTGTGTACCCTCCCTTCCTCACCAAGTCTGCATGACTCTACCTCCTAATCGCGTGTGTACCCTCCCTTCCTCGCCTTTGCTCACATGCTGCTCATGTTCCGATGCTCGCTTTCCCTTCTAGTACCCTAGGACCAGCATAGCTTCCAAGCTGGTCCTCTGGCCCCTGAGACTCCTCCAATCTGTCCTTCTCACTGCTGACCGGGGAGTCAGTTTTCTGACATGCCACAGATGATGGTATTCCCTGCTAAAAGATCTTCCCATCACGGTGGCTGTTTCATAAACTGTGTTGCTTGCAATGCCACTGGCTCCATGTCCTTCCAGCTCTAAACCTGTGTAGTTCTCTCGCGTCTTAAGTGCTGGGATTCTGAGTAGCCAATGACATCATTTTGGTGGCACAGGGATTATGACATCAATATTGTTGTGTTCTATCATCATCCTTGGAGCCTTTCGTGTGCTGATGTGCTTTGGTGATGTTCACAGAGGCCCAACTCAATAGCAGGCATGGCTTGGAAATGTATTTGACTTGATCCTAGAATCTTTCCTAGTTTTAATTTTTGGCGGAACACAAAGTACTAGGGGCTGGGGACCAGTCTGGCCCAGAGGGTAGTTCAAATCCACAGCCCAGCACGGAGGCCCCAAGCTGTCTTGTGCTGCCTCGTTTGCCTGGCTCCACGCTGAGTGCTGTTCCTGGAACACCCTCTCTCTGTCTCTGGTCCTGCCACTCTTTCCCAGCTCACAGAAGGTGCAGCCCTAGGGTTACATCCTCCAGGAACCTACCATGTGCCAGACAAGGATCTTCACAGGTACAGTGGACTCCTCAGAATAAGTCTCTGCTGTTATCACTTCCTTGCCGTCTCCCCCCTACCCAAGCCAGATAGGGGCTTCCTCGTTTCCCCCATGCTCTTCATCTCCTCATGCATTTTTGCTTATCTGTCTCCCTTTTCTCTTGACTGCAAGCTCCTTGAGGGCAGAGACTGTCTTGTTCTCTCTGGTGCCTCATCCCTTGCCTGGTACCAAGAAGATACAAAGGAAAAATCTGTTGACTGACTAAATAAATAAACGGTCATAATAAAAATAGCAAACACTTCTATTGCCCTTGTTGCGTGCCAAGCACTGTCTAAGATCTTTACATCCTGCTAATTAAAAGAGTTAATGTTTAAGGAGCATCTGCTCTGTGCAAAGTCTTGTTTTAAGAGTACTGATTCATCTTCACAACAACATAGGCTTTGAGCTGCTGCTCAGGGTTCTTGCAGAGGAAGGAGCCAGTTGCTCTGGGATGACACAGAAAAGGCCAGGACTGAGGACCCCCTGGGGCACCTGTGTGATAAAGGCAGCTCTAGGGGCAGCAAACAACAAACCAAGCAGATAATCGGGGGAGGGTGTAGCTATGCCCAGAAAGGTTGTCCAGGGTCCAAGACCTAGTTACACCTGCTTGGATTATGGATGAATAAAATTCCCCAAGGCCTTCCACGAAACAACAACAACAACAACAACGACAACGACAACTAAAACTTCTTCCAATGCTTTGGTAAGGGGAATGGCCAACCCTGAATCTATTTATCAGCCATTGGAAATGCCAACTGTAACTGCCATCATGTCCATAGCATTTGTGCAGGGCTTTGTGAGGAACAGGTTCCTTCACATGTCAGTCTTTTCATCCTTGAAGCATAGGCCACGGATGAAGAAACCAAGGCCCACAGAGATTAGGGGGTATGTTCAGGGTCATGGAGATAATGAGTGAAGGAGCCCACACCGGAATGTCAGTCTTATGACTTTAAGGCCAGGGCTCAACACAGCTGTTCCACTATTACTATGAATAGTGGCTTTACTGACAATGCCAATAGTTGCAATAGTAATGTGGCAATTTATTGAGCCTCCTATGTGCCTGAAGCTCTTCTTAATTCTTTACATATGCTATTCATGTCTTGGAAAAGCTAACCTTGGCGAGCACTTCTAGATGCTAGGGACTGTGCTGAGCGTCCATGCGTTATCTCATTTTATCTCACAAGGACCTTGTCAGGTCAGTACTACCTCCATTTCGGGAAGCCAAGGCTTGGAGGCAGTAAGTACCACACCTGAGGTGACACAGCTACCGAGGCTTATTTGAACCCAGTTCCATTCCCCAAGATCAACCAGAATGATGACAACCTAGTTCTGTCTCCTTCAAAGGCCATACATTTTCCAGCAATTATGCCATCTTTATAAACATGCTGCATATAAAAATCATATCTATCCATGTACGTGCACACATATAGCATATACTCTCTATGTTTCATATTCCAAAATGTCCTGATGTTCATAAACTCTCTTAGTTTTGGTTGCAACTGAATTAGTCATCTATTCGTTTTGGTTCCAATTGAATTAGCAGATAAAAGGAGGATAATAAATGTGGTTTTGCTATTAATAAAAGTGATTTAAAATCCTCTTGAAACTGGATCTTGATTCACATTCCCTGACAGTGCCTGCTTTCTTGCCCACTAGCTTTCACTGCATGGGGTGCATGGTGCATGCTCTATGGATTCTTGTGAGTCCAAAATACACTGGGCGGACACTGGGCACCAGGGAACTCTGGCTGCCCTGCAATGGCCTGGAAAGATCAGCCTCACCTCCTGCTAACCATCTCTACCAGTGGTTGAGGCAATTCTGCCAATGAAAGTTTGAAATGAAAAGTGAGTTTTGATGCCAAGGAGCATTAGGGCATCATATAATGGGCCTTCTAGAAAAGCAGGAACATGGGGTGTGAAATGAGAGATCGCCTTTCTTTCTCTTAGAAATGTAGATGCGCATGTGGTGGGATTTGCCCCCTCACTAACCACACAGAGTTTACTTCCTCATTAGACTAAAAATACGAAAAGCATACAATCACCTCCTAAAGTATAATTATTAGCCTGCTGCAGTGAGCTCTGTGAATATTGCTGAAGGTTTTGATATCTGCAGTGGAGTGTGAAATGCTATTCAACATCTAGCCTGCGAGCTGACAGCCTTCCAGGATCTGTTTCCACAGGTGTTTGCTCTCTTCTTGACTAGGAACACAGAATTACTAAATTTTGGCTTAGACGGGGCCTTCAAGGTAATTTCCTTCCTCCCTTAAATGTTATGGACAAGGAGGCCAAGGCCGAATGGAGGAGTTAAATGACTTCTGGCCCAGCTGGGACTAGAACCCAAGTCTCCTACCCATTGATACTTTCTTCAAGGCAAGACCATGTCTCCAGCTTGCACATCCTGGCTGGCAGGATGGCCAGATCTGGGTAGCCAACACCCACTGGACACTTCCACCTACGGTCCCATGGGCACAACTCAACCTGTCTGAACTAAGCTCTCGAACTGCCCCTTCTCCTGAGTTCTCAATCTCAGCCACAAGGGTCTTTTCAGCTGCATAGTCAGAAACCTGGGCATCAACTTGGACTCTAGGACTCTTTCAGCCTTTGTGTTTGATAATTAGATTGGTCACCAAGACTTACCATTTTTCCCTTCCAGAAACTTCCTCTCTACCCTCCTCTCTATCCTCCACTCTGGTCCTTTTTCATCTGTGTCTGGTCTCATTGTTGCTCCCTCAACCACTTGCTTGTCTCCAGCCTGGGGCTCTTCAATCCCAACTCCACCTGCCCCTGAGAGACTTCTAAGTAGTAGAATCAGTGAAACAGAGGGATTACAAACTCAGGCCTGCAACTGAACCTCAGCTCCCATGTTTACTGGCACAATGACCTTGGGTAAGCTGCTTAACCTCTTATACGTACCTCAGTTTCCTCATCTGCAAGAAGGAATAACAATGTCTGCTACATAATCTTATTGTGAAGAGAAAATGGCTATGTATCTGTTGATTAAGCACATGGTAAGTGCTCAATAAATGGTATCTAGTATTATTGTTGTTATTATTCACATGTTTAAACTACTTGCTCAAAATCATTACAACTTTCCTATTTACTATAAAGTTTAAAAACTTCCTAAAAGCAGGCCCCAGCCACCCTCATATTTGGCCACTATTCTTGTTACACCCATTGTGCCAGCTTCAAACAATAGGATATACTATATTTTGAATCATCAATGACTTTAGCCTGCTTTTCATACTCATGAACTCCTATTCATACTTCGAGACTCAGACCACATTTCACTATGGGATCTTCACCAAGTCCCTTGCTATTCCTGTTTCCCATCTTACCCTCTCTCCTGGCATATTACTAATATATCAATCTATGGCCTAGATTCTCACTAAACTTTTGCTCATTTCTTCCTTACAGCACTTATCATGCTCTATTTTAATTAATAGTATACATGTCCATCTCCCCCACTGGGTGGTGAGCTCTCTGAAGGCAGGGACATGCCTAAGTCAGCTCCAGATTCAAAGGATTAGCACGTAGCTGATCTAGAAGTAGATGCTTAATGTGTCATAGTGGCAAATAACTTAAGTCACAGCGTCCTGGCTTTGAATCTCAATGGGTACCTTTGCTGGCTGTTTGTCACTGGGCAAGCATTTAACTTTGAGTTTCAGATTCGATGGAATATAATAGCCCTTACCCCATAATGAGACAACTTATGTGACACATTTACTTCAGAGATTGACATAAAGTAAGTTCTCAACAGATGTTAGCTAGTTTTTGTTATAGTAATTCGTTATTACTGAATGGACAATGAAATGAATGCATAAATGGAAGCCCAACTCATCAAGGCACATATTGTACATGTTCCCCAAATGATTCAAGAGCTCTGCCATAATTCATTGCATTAAAGTGGGCTGAGAAGCTGTGGAAAGAAGAGATAAGTAGCATGCTTGGCCTCTCTCTTAATCCTTTGGGGAGTAATTTATATTTCTTTGGCTCTCGGCTACTCAGATGAACTCAGGTGTCACCCGCTTACATATTAATTTGAGATAACATGAAACCACTGCATCAGTCTGATAATTTTTCTTTTTGGGGAGATGCTAGTAACATTGCTAGCAATAGAAAACTCATTTCACTAATGTATGCAAGAAACTGCTCAGCTGTTGACCATTAGTATTTCACAGGTATGCATAGGAAGAAGAAGAGGAAAGAAAGCTTAATTGGCTAATGAGTAAATAGGTAAGCTCTGATAAAGGGCAGAAATAAATGATGCACCAGTGCCAGAAAGATACTTCATGTTAAATGCGTCCGATTCAACTAGTAAATTAAAAAAAAAAAGACTTTTGGAAGTTTTCATGGAGAAATGATATTCTAACTGGAAGCACAGAATTAGAGTCGGCGCATTTTACAGTCAATATGTGAAACTTGAGATGAACTTCTAAATAGCATATGAGATGATAGAAAAGTTAGTTTATCCAGTACCACTCTCTTAAAGGATTCCAAATTCTCTATTTATCCAAGACAATTAATGTTCTTTAAAATTTTCCCTTGAACTTGCTCTAAAAAACCAAAAGCTATAATGCAGCACACAGGTAACACATAATCTGGCCCTACACGTCTCTCAAGGGTTATCTTTCTTGCTGACTTTGCTCAGGTCACATTAGTTTTCTTTTGGTTCCATGGGCCAAGCTTCTTTTGCCTCAGGGCCTTAGCAAATGCAGTTTCATTTCCTTGCCAAGATCCTGGGATCAAACCATTAGTGTTTTCCTATTGCTGGAGAAAGATAGGATCAATGTGACATACCCCTAAGATCCCCAAGACCCATTGACACAGAGCCTACCTAAGACAGGCTGAACCAAAGCAGCAGAGGACATGTACTCTCCCCACCCCCTGCCACATCAGCAAGTGGCAAGGAACTAGAAACAGAAGTCTATTGCTAGGGAACAGGAGCTTAAAGAGAGACCCTATTTAAGGCACAGATTCACAGAGAAACACTAAGTCAAAGGTGGAACAGGAACATTGAGGATAACACTTTGGTAACCACACTGAAAACAAACTCTAAAGCTGATCTTTTGAAAATAACCACAGAACAACAAAACTCAAGACGAGCTCAACTCCTAATTAGATTGACTCAATGCTACCTCCTCAAAAAAAAAAAAAAAAAAAAAAAAAAAAACTAAATGCAAAGTATTAAAAGAAACATGTCAATTTCCAGGCCTAAACATTTTCCTTTATATCATGCAAATATTTTAATAAATT